AGGAGTGAGTACCGGCACCACCGGGGTGGGCAGGGGCACACGGCACCCCCCGGGGCAGGGGATCCCCAGCGAGGAACCGAATCCCCCATCCCGATGGGGTTTGGGTTTTTTTTTTGCATCCTGATGGGAAGAGGCTGCCGGGGCGGAGCAGCGGCCATCGGGGGGGCTGATGAGCTCCAGCTGGCAGGGGGACGTCCGCGCCGGACACCTGTATCCTATTTTAGCATCCGACAGGAGATGATGGACTTCCCGGGACGCAGGCTTGAGAGTGAAATGGAAAAAAAAACCCAAACTCCCCCAAAAAAGCAGCTGCCGAACCCATCCCGTGCCAGGGGTGAAGCTGACTGGTTGCAGGGACTGAGAGCTTCCAAATCCAGGCAGGAGAACCCTCCCAGTGCTGCCTGCAGTGGGGGCAAAGGGGGCTCAGCACCAGGACAAGGACCACGGGGTGTTGCCATCCTGCTGTCCCCCTGGGTGCAGTGATGGTGGCTCCCCCCGAATCTGTCCCCAGGGGCCACCGGGCGTACCTGAGCAGCGCACCCCACTATGACTTCCCGCGCTACCGGCAGCTGGTGCACGAGATCACGCTGGCCTTCAGCGGCATCTCCCGGGAGGTGCTGTGCATCGCCGGGCGCCTGCGGGACGAGCTCGCCCGCCCTGACCTGGCCCAGCACCGCGCCCGCCTCCAGGAGCGGGAGCAGGAGAAGCTGCAGCTGGTGAGTGCCGGGCTGGGGGGGTCCCACCGCTGCCCGAGGCAGGGCTGGGGCTGCTTTGGTGGGGGGGGGGTCTCAGCTCCCGCTGTGTCCCTACTGCAGACAGCGCAGCTCCAGCTGGCCCGGCAGCAGGCGCAGGACCAGCCCGATGTGGACGCCCATCCGCAGGAGGTGCGGGAGCTCAAGCACAAGTAGGTGGTGGCCCCACTGCTGTCTCACATTTGGGGAGGGTGGCATCCCCACCCCGGGCTGGGACCATGGCTGGCAGCACCTCCGCCCACCGGACAGGGGGTCAGGAGCCCCTTCCCCACATTTCTTCCTGCTCCAGCCCCGGGGGGGCCCAGATGGTGCCTTCAAAAGCGCTCTCGGCCGCAGCCCTGGGGAGGATTTGGCGATGCCGCGCGGCCACGGTCCCCTCGGCCTCCCTGGGCTGAGTGTTTCATAAACAGCGCGGGGAAGGCGAGGCGGCCCAGATAATACGCTCCATATGGGCTTTATTTATAGTTTCCATCCGCTCTCGTAGGCTAATTAAAACCATTGAGGCAATCAGTGAAATTCTCCAGGACCTCAAGTACGATTCGGAAGAAGTCGAGTGATGGGTGTCCCCGTGGGAATGGCTGGAGGGGCCGGCTGGTGGAAGGGGGGCCCCGCTTGCCCCCCCAGCACGCCACCTCAGCAAGGTGGGCACCATCCCCCTGAACCCTTTTCTTGGACGTGGGCTGGAAGGGGTAGAGACCCACCCCTGGGAGCAATGGGGTCCCCCCCAAATCCTGACCATCCCTCAGTGGAGGGGTCCGGCATGGGGCTGGTTCCCTTCCCAAGCTCTGCCGGCCCTGCTGGGTCTTTGCCCAAGGAAAACCACAACCCCCAGTGCCAAGGGGCCGCCTTGCTTTGACCCCCAGTGGGACAGGCATTGCCTTTGCTGCCGGCTGGAGCCCTGCGGGGAGCACCCCCCTCCCCAAAACCACCTCTTGGAGATCAGCTGCAGCCCCAGCCCCAGCCCCACAGTGGCTCTGGTGCCCCACAAGTGCCCTTTCTACAATTACCCCACAATAAACCTGTCCCTGGGGAGCTGGCCTGAGTCGTGTGATCTAAAGGGCTTGTCCCTGTCCAGTACCACCCCCTCCGCCTTGGCTCGGTCCCCTGGGCCAGGGTGACGAGGGACATGGGTCCCGTTTGGCTGCCCGCTGCATCCCCGTCCCCACGCGCTGCTGCCGCTCCGCTGACGCAGACCCCGGTGGGGTTTCAGAGGTTTATTGGCATTAAGCTTAAATCTGTTCCTAATTGACTGAAATGGAACCAAAATAAGCCTGGTTTGAATCAAAACTGGAGCAGGCACTGGGCAAACCCCAGCAGCCTCAAACCAGCCCGCATGGCTCCCTGGGGATGGACCCCCCCCGTGTGCTTGCACATGTGTCCCTGGGGAGAAAACCAGCCAAAATC